AAACCTCTTTATAAGAATATTATATATATAGTATTGGGTAAAGTTCTTATATAGGAGTTTTATTAATAAAAAAACTTACTAACATATTTTTATACAAAAATTATTATTTAAACTCGCCAAGCATCCAAACTTATCTGTTTTTTCACTTCAATTTTTATTACTTCAAAAATTGATACCTTTTTGTGTAATATTTTTACCTCATCATTACTAAATATAGTTTCTGTTTATTCATAAAATGTGATAAGAATTTTCAATATATTACTTGCTTTCATTACAGATATGGGAGATGGTGAAGATTCTTCATTTTCTTCATCCAAATTAAGTATATCATTTTCTATTATATTATCAGCCTGAAGCATATCAATAATTTCACTATTCTCAAGCAATTCTTCTGTCGTAATAGGCTCTTCAATAATATTAATATATACTTTCATATCTTGAACAAGATATTGAACAGCTTGATCAGTAGTATCAAGGTAATGTAAAGAATTTAGAATCTTATTTTGCATGTCTAAAGCTTCATTTAATATATCATTTGCTTGAGTGTCTGTAGTATCAGTTTCAGGAAGAATTCCTGTTAAATTCCAGTAATTTCATATTATTTCTTGTATAATCTCATTTCAAGCATGAGAAGTATAATCAATCACTTGTTTTATATTCAATTTGTTCCTAAAAATATAGAAAAAGAGTGATAAGTTAAAGAATAGTGGAGCGAGAGAAGAGAATGATGATGTGAAAGAAGAGAATAGTGAAGCAGAAGAAGAGGAATAGTAAAGTGAGTGAAGAAAAATAGTGGAAAATGAGTCAGAAACAAGAAATTAATAAATGATGAAGTTGAACAGATCACAATTAATTTGTTTGCTGATTTTTCAATTTTTTATTAAAATTGTTATCGAACATACTTTGCAATATCAATTTTATGCTCAAATTGGTCTAGAACATAACAGTAATAATACTGACAATAGTGTGCTTTAAAGGACTTGATAATTCCCATGTCAAGCAGTTGCAAGTGAGCAGTTGTATTTGGCAGAAGGTAATGAATACAGATGTTTATGAGATGGAGTGGTGGCTAAAGATAGCGTAGCAAGTATGTGATGTTTATTTATCACCTGTTACAATACATTGTAATTCCAAAATTTTATAAGTCGCAACTAGTTGCAACTAGATGATGCTTTATTTGTCACTATATTACAACAGTTGAGGAGTTATCTTTAGTGGTGACTGAGAAGAATTTTCAGTTGTAACCTGAGCTTTCTTGCCTTTTTTTTTGCTTTTTGTAGCCACTCATCCTTGTGATCAATCTCACTTTCTGTGATCACTGGTAGAACTTTCTGCAATTGATTCATTTTCTTTCTCACTTGATAAACTAACATTATCTTCTTCTATTATCTTAGGTAAATCATTTACATTACTACTTGATTCATTTGCATTCATGATTGTATTATATGATGGAGTATTATTAATAAGCAAAAGCACATGTTATTGCTAGATTCAAAAATCCTCATCAATATATTTTAACCAACTTTCTCAGATTTCTCTATGCATTCACGTATTTGAATTATATCAATATATAACAGGCAATGAGGAAATATTAATTCTCTTGAATGAACGTGGAGATTTGGCAGTACTAATTATGAGAGGTTTGAGTTTGTGAGTTCCAGTGGTATTTGTAGCTAACAAAATAGTAATTCATATTTTATTCTAAATATAATTAATGTATTAGTAAGAGAAAACATTAACATAAATAAAAAAACTTTAAAAACTTATTATTTTTTTGCCAGCAGTCTGGTGCTTTGCAAGAGTTTGATTTAGGGTCATCTGGTAAAACAAACCAGTTTCATCTGCATTGTAAATGTCTTCAGTTCTATATTATAATAACAACTCATGCAGTTTTCTTCTTTCTTTAGGTAAATTTTTAATTAGTACTGAATTAGCTTCATAATGAAGCTGGAAAGCTTTTATATCATTATGCACTTTAAATCTTCCCACCCAACTATTTGATCATTGAAGAGCATCCTCATTAAATTCAAAAAGAGTGGTAAAACATCCAGCCTTTTCTTTAAGAAGTGTCTCAGTTAAAATTAACCCCATAGCAGATACTTGGTCAACCCAAAAATTCAAGGCTCTTTCTAATAAGAGAAATTTTGATAGATGGTATTTATAAGTTATTTCTGATATTTTGCTCAAGTTAATATTATACTAGTGGTCTGACTTTTTTAATATTTTTGTAATAGTTAGCTGCGTAATACCGAGATCAGGATATTTTTCATTAAAATGGTTGACTACATTCTCATGACGAGTATCTGATAATGCTTTGATTCAGAATAAGCTTATTTCTTTATGTACAGCATCACTAAGTACTACACATTTTTTTTCTTGTGAATTGGATCTTTAGATAACATATTATAATAGAAAGACTAAAGAAAAAGGCAAAAATATAGCAACAAAGTGTTTTAGTTAGGGATAGGTAAATAAAATTGTTTAAGAACAGGAATGGGGTAAAAATAGAGCAAGGATATAAGAAATTGTTAGCAATTGAGATAAAATAAGTAATTGAAGAGATTTAAAGCATACCATATAAAAAAGTTCTAATAAAGAGCCTTGCAAGTAGCAAGAGTAATTTTTCACTGATTTGTTATCTCGTGATTTATAACTAAATCACTAATAAACATGATTGGCTAATCATAATTAATGTCACATGTTATGTTCTTATTTGAAAGGAAACTAATTAGAACTGAGACTGAACAATATGTTTATGTTTTTATAAATTATAATATCACATGCTATGTTCTTACTGAGAGAGAGACTAATTAGAACTGGGACTGAACAATATATTCTATGTTCTTATTATTAAAATGTTCCTATATAGAGTTAAATTATATATAAAATCAATTTGTTTTTAGAAATAAGATTCTTATAAATAAATGTTCTTATATAGCATATTCTTATAAAGGAGTTTGACTGTACTTTTAAATAATAAAAATAATTATAAGTTATAAAATTAAAACTTATTTATATCATATTTTATCTTGTTTATAATTATTAATAAAATAATCTTACATTATATCTGAATCTTTTTATCTATAATTTCTTGAACCTGAAATATAATTTTAACTTATATAATCCAGATAAGTATATTTTTATTTAATTCTTCTAAATATATTAATATTTTAACTAAGAGATGAAATATAAACTTGAAATTAGAGAAATTATCTTCTTTTACTATCTTAATAAGTTTAGTCATACTTTATATAAATTATGTAAATTATTCTAAATTTATCTTAATAATATTATTTAATTAACTAATTAAAATATGTGTATAAAATATATATATATAATATATAAAATATAAGATATTAGAAAGTAATCTTTATAATAACTATATCTGCTATTATTAAATTATAAGATTATTTTATTAATAGTTATAAACAAGATAAAATACAATATGAATAATATTAATTTTATAACTTATAATTATTTTTTATTATTTAAAAGTATTCAAATCTAAAATTAATTTACAGAACAGAAAGATCTTATTTATAAGAAATAAAATAAATATAAAATATAAATAAATTAATAATGATTTATAATTAAAATATATATGAATTGAACAGAATTAATTAACTTAATTTATATTTTCAGAGAATAATTAATCATAATCTAATAATTAATAATATAATAAATAATAATATAAATAATAATAAAAAGAGAATAAGTAAAAATATAAAGAATTAATTAAAAAAAATCTAATTTAAAAATATTAATAATTTAAATTAATAATATAAATATATATAATAATTATCTATATAATAATATACTAAATTTAATATATTAAATATATAGATAATTATTTGTATATCTAGAGTAAAATTAATCTTCTTAAAAAATAATATAAAGCTAATCTGTAATATATATAATGCAAAATAAAAATCTAAACTAAAAAAAGATAATCCAATTAAAATTATTATATTAAAAGTTAGATTATATTTGTATTTAATATTCTTTATATTTTTTCAAATATAAATAATTAATCTGAAAGAGTTATTTTATAAAATTATTATTTAATAAATAATTCAATTTCAGCATATATCTCATATTGAATTAAATTATTTCAGTTAAATTAATATAATTCAGTAACAAAAATATCAGTATTATCTTCTAATAATTATATAAGAAATCTTTTTTGTTTTGCAATTAATTTTCATTATTTAATAACTTTTTCTTCTCATTCTTATTTCAAGAAATAAGTATAAGCTTCTTAATAATCAGTAAATCTAAATTTAGTTATTTCATAATTAGATTATCCAAGTTCTTTTCAAATAGAAACTAATTTAAGTTATTTAATAAATATAAGTTATAAAAATACTAGTTAAATAATTTTCTAATCAGATTTAATAATATAAACTTCTTCTGAATTATTTTAAATAATAATATTGATATTTTTAACATATTCAGAATTAATAATTTTACCTTTAATATTAATTTCTTGTTTAGCAAGAGATAAATGAAATATTATTTAATATATAACTTTTATAGAAATATTTATAATAATATATATATCTACTAGTATAACTTAATATAATAAAATTCTAATTACTTCTTTTTTAGTATAATAAATATCATAACTAATATTAGTTAGATAAGCTTTTTCTAGTAATTTTTCTTTATCTTGATATTTATAAACTTTAATTATATAGTATTTATTATTTTGATTAATAAGTAATTCTTTTAGATAGTTATTAAATTATTGTGAAAGTTTATTAAATATCTGATAAATAATATTAAATTTCTCTTGAATTTTAATTAATTTAAGTTAAGAAGATTGATTTAAAATAGAAATAATATTTAATTTCTCAATTAATTCATTAGTTACTATTTCTTTTTGAATTAATTTCAAAACTATAAGATATTTTTCTTTATCTAGTTTAGTCAGAAATTTAGATTATATATAATCATTATATTTTTTATCATTATATAGAATTAGATATTCTTAATATTAATATAATCTAAGTAAATAAGTTATTATTTTTAATTAAGATTGAATTATTAATAAATATATTAAAATATTTTAATAGCAGAAATTTTTACAAAATTCTCATAAATAATTTCATGAATAAAATCATCTTCATACATAAACTAAGATAGAATTGCTTTGCTAATTTTATTATATTCATCATAAACTTCTAATAATATTTTTTGTTCTCTAAGTTTATTAATTATTTTAATATTCTTTCTTTATTTTTTATTATTAAATCAAAAAATATATTAATATTTATAAGTATAGAAATATCTTTTCTTATAACTTTTAATAATAAATATATTTTTAAATTCATCATATTTACTATATTGAGAGCAAGCAAGAAGATTTAATTATTTCTCTAATATAATTATTACAAGTAATTAATTTTTCTCTATTTATCTTAAAATATATTTCAGTATAATACTTATCTAAATATTTTTCATATTTATTACATTTAATTTGAGAGTTTAAATAAATTTATTGTGAAGTAGAATAATAAGAATTAATACTTTTTTTTACTTTAATATTAATAAAGAGTTCTTGTTTAACTTTATTAGTCTGGTCTTTATTTATTTTGAATTTTATATAGAATGATTTGTGAACTTTAATAATTATTCAATTAATAAGATTATTATAATATTAATAACATTAATAATCAGATATAAAAAGATTTTTTTGATATTAATATTTATTATTAGAATCTTTCTAATTAAATAGTCAATAATTATTTTAATTATATTTTTGTAAGAATTTTTTATTAAGTTATTTATAATTTTTTCAAGTATATTTTTTTTATTTAATTTTAATTTCTTCTTAATAGACTTGTACTTCATATATTTTTTTAATATTTTGAATAATTTGAAAAGATATATCTTTAAAATTAATATCTCTTAAACTTTAATTAGAGATTTTAACAGGAGTAAAGATAGCTCCTCAACTATTGCAATGTGATGACAAATAAAGCATCACCTAGTTGCAACTAGTTGCAACTTATAAAATTTTGGAGTTACAACATGTTGCAACAGGTAACAAATAAGTATCACATACTTGCTACGTCATCTTTAAACAGGAGTTCAAATTTCTTTAATAATAATTTCAATACTATTATTATCTTGAGTTTCTTGTTCTTTAGGAGTTGTAATATTCTAATTATTATATTATTACATAAGAAAGATTTTCTTTTTTAAATATTATTCTTCAAATTTACTTTCAGAATCTTCTTCTAATTTATCTTTTTCAGAACTTAATTCATCAAAAATAGAATTTTTTCTATCATTATGAATGAATTTAATTGATACTTTTTCTTTCTAATTATTATATTTAAAAGTTAGAAGTTCTTTCTTGATATTAATATTAGCTTTGATTTTATTTAAAAAGTCTATTTCTATAATTATTAAATATATTTTAACTTTAG